TCCGTGATGTTTAGTGTGATGCCAGAATTGGCATACACATATTTATTTTCTATCTTTTAAAATATCTTTCATTACTTAAACAATTTTNAACCAAAATGTAAAAAAAGAAAGCAATCAAATGTTCAAATGCAAAAGAGAAGGGAACAGACAAAACTTAGTATGAGATAAGCTAGACAGACATTAAAAAAAAAAACACTATATTGTTTGAAGAAAGCAAAAAAAAAAAGAGCGAGAAACTTTAAAATCTGTATCAGAAAAAGATTTAACAGAAAAATCGTGATTAAATGCACTTAAATTTCTAGAAATTGATAGAACAAGCCGTTTGTGCAAAGGGAAAAAAGAAACAATAAGAAGAAAAGAGAAAAAACAAAAACATTATTTTAATGACAGTATGTTTAACTTGCATAAAATGTTCATAAAAGAGTACCCTCAACACTCAACTTTCACGTGGAGTCTGTATTTTTATTTCAATAGTCTTTACATTTTAATTTATTAATATTCAGTAAGAGTTACTTAAAAATTGTACACCTAGGATAAAAATGGATGTTTCCCTTCATAGCAGCATGATTAATCGGAAGTAGCTCCATCTCTAACAATGAAATATTTTATTATTTACTTATTAATGCTAAACTCATATCAGATGTACCCAATAATTAATGAATTAGTCTTCATTGATATTTTATATTTTGTAACATAAAATGTATCCTCCGTTGACTATTACATCTCCTTCGTGAAAAAGGCAGAATTTAAAATATTTTAAATCTTGTAAAAAATAAAATAGAAAACTTGACCATTATTATAAGGACATATAACAAAAATAAATAAAGGCATTTATGTAATTTTTATCACTTTTTTAATTACTTTAATTCAAGAAAATTTTTTAGTCTATTTATACCTTTTCAGTAAGAATGACCCATACATATATATATACATATATATATATACACAGTAATATTAATATACTTTTGATTTCTCAAAGTTGAAGGAATGCTAAAAAAATTTCGTAATAGCGAGTTTTCAAGATAACAAGTTCAGAACTAAATACGTTCTAAAAAGAAGAAAATACATTCTAAAATATTACTCAAAAAAGTAGAGTAATGAAACATAAGAATAATTACTATTAAATAAGTATGTAATGATAGTTGACTATAAATCGAAATGCAACAATGATAATTTTATTTTTAAAAGACAAAAATAATTACCGTATATTCCGACGTATAACGCGCCCCAGCGTATAACACGCACCCGCAATTTCTAAGACTTTTTTTTAAATTTTAAGATATACTCTTCGTAAGAAAACCAGAAACCTTTTAGTGTGGGACATGTTTAGGTCCCACCTTACAGATAACACAAAAAAATTGTTGAAAGAATGTAACACCGATATGGCAGTTATTCCGGGCTGATTGACACCATTAGTTCAGCCATTGGACGTCTGCTTAAACAAACCATTTAACGCCAATTTAAAAAAACAGTGGAACACTTGGATGTTCGAGGGCGAGAAAACCTTTACAAAAGGAGGACATATGTGTCATGCAAGTTTGGAAACAATGTGCGAATAGATATTAAAAGCGTGGGATGAAATTAAGCCTGAGATGGTTAGAAAATCATTTAAAAATTGCAGCATTTCAAATAATCTGGACGGATTAGAAGATGACTGTTTATTTATGGATGAGGGTAACGCAGATGATGAAGACGAAACAGATTGTGATGACGTGCCTAAAGAAATAACGGAAGACTATAGCCCCTGACAGAAGACGAATATAATGAACTATTTATGTAATAACGAAAATCAATTAAGTATACAGGTAAAGGTATGTTATTTCTTTAAAATAAAAGTATTTTTCTATATTTAAATTTTTTAATCTATAATTTTTTATATTCGGCGTATACTGCTCACCCGTAAATTTCAATGTTATTTTTTGTATTAAAAGTGCGCGTTATACGCCGGAATATACGGTATGCATTAAATAGAAAAGAGTTGTTTTACAATAAACTTTGGATTTTCTTCAAAAAAAAATCTATTTCTCTTTTCTTCTTTTTTTGTGAAAAAAATTTGACTTAGCAAGGTTTTCAAGGCATGAAAGTATTTCGAGATATCGAGCATGTACTGTATATACATATATAAATGCATACATACATATACATATATATATGTGGGTGTATGTATACCGATTGAATTTAAGTCCATTAAAAAAAATTATCGTTAAATATTTGCAGACATATGTGGGGAACACAAAAAATCATGTGCACAACTTGTATTATAATTATTTGTGAGTTATAAATTGTAAGAAAAATAAAGAATGAATATTGATATACATAATGAAGTAATTTTTATTTAATTACATGATGCATAATTAATAAACAATATTTTTCTATTATTAATAAACAGAACTCATTTTAATAACTATTAATAAATTGTAGTAATGAATTGCTAAGATTTTGTGTTTAATTCACATGAGTTTATTAAAATTGTGTTTTTTAGAACCTCTCAAATTTTTAGCCTTTACACGCTGAGTATGATTAGAGAAGAAAAGGTTTCTAATGGCAAGACTTTGCAAAACTTAAATAAATGGGAAATGAGCTTCCGAATTTAAAACTGTCTTAATTCAAAATATGAACACTCCATAAATAAAAAAGTAATTCCTTAACCATAAGAAGAAAAAGAATAATGAGGGAAGGATTAAGGAACTAAAATAATGTATACATATGTGTCTCATATAATTATTAAAAGTATTGGAACCTATGTGATCCTTGAATTCAAGAAATAAATAAAGACAACATTTCATTACATTTTTGTATTTTAAGATTAAAAAATGAAAATTATCATTTATTTATTTTATTTATGTAGTTTTTGAAGACCCATTAGGTGCCCTCGTCACTTTATTAACTTGAACTTTTGTGAAACTTGTTTAAAACATTTGTTAGGCAATGTAATTTTTGATTCCTAGAAGCAAGTTGTTTTTAAAATGTTTTCATTATTTTCTGTAATAAAATATAAACATCTAGAGAATGCATAAAGTTACTCCATTTTGCAAAAAAAAAATTTGAAGTTTCTAGCATTTTAATTTAAATAATTTATGTTTACATAATATTTCATAAAATTTCAAAAAATTTCTAATTTTCATGAAATTTTTATTTCAAAGTATTTGTATTATTCAAATTTTGCTTGCCTGTTAATAAGCCGTAATGTATTTTTCTTATAGAACAGAAGTTTTCCACAACACTTTTTTAGGCACCTGAATAGTGAAAAAATATTTTGAAAAAAACCACCAAAATAATAATAATGGAGGTTTTTAAAAAATGAGAGAAAAAAGTTATTGTTGTGACACTAGAGAAAAATTTTGTATCATATCAAATCTTATTAAGTTTAATAGGTGATAAAAGTAAAGCTCTGATGCCACAGCTGTTAAGGCATTGAGCTGTTGATGTGTAGGCCTAGGATTTAATCATTGGTGGAAGTGTGTGGTCCACCCAACTTCAGATCTATGAGTATTTGCTTGTCTGTGAGTAAAGGTAGCGTGTAATGACAACACTATAGCCATCATAATGCTGTTGGTCTTAAAATTATGGAATCTTAACCTCCATGGCTGGTTGAGAGTAATAGTCCAACATACTAGCTGTTGCAAGCATGCTTTAATCTTAGGCGATAAAACCTATGTTTATACAAAATTTTAATAACTTTAGATCCAATTATTTTACAATACTTCAAAAACACAACGATCCATATTTGACAGAACATCATTTGGACATTAATATTTTCAAATGAGTCATTAGATATAAGGAATACTTAAGAAATTAGTTCCACAAAATAACATTGTAAAATGTACCCCATTAGATGATAAGTGTTACAAATTATTTTGATTGATGAATTTAGCTCCACACATATAACAAAAAACATTAAAAAATTAAATTTAACATTAAACTATGTCTTTTCCTCGATTTTAGGCTACTACTATTCCTATACCAAAAACTGATTTTGTTTTATTTCAGAACTTGAAAAACTCCAAATGTTTTTCCCAGTTTCGAAAGTTATGTATAGCATAAACTCTTTTTTATTTCTCAGACATGAACTGCCTTGTTTTCTAGACTAAAGTTTCAAACCATACCTTGGGATTATGACTGAAAACTTAAAATCATTGGGAGAAAAAATGTTTATTTAGGAAAAAAGTTAGAGCAGCTAAATATTTTTTGCCAAATTATTCAGAATGACGGCAGGAATTACAAAAAACATGCCACAATTTTATTTCTAATGAAATGTTGTAAAGACCCTTTCCTCTTGGTGTATCAAAAAAACAATTAGTAAATCAGCCATTAAATTTCTAAATTGTAGTTTGAGATAGTAAAAAATAAAAAAATTGAGATCTATAGACTTTAGTGAGAAACAGATAATCTTCATAGTAATTGGGCAATGAGCCTCTTCAATCACTTGGCAAGTTGTGAGAAATCCAATCTATGATTTATCTCAACTTGATCATCAAAAGCATCAAGCTAGCTTCCTTTTAAGAGGAAAATGTTACCAAGGAACATTTTGGTTAATTTTCCAAAATAATGATTTAATCAATATTAAATATGAATATTTTTCTGTTAAGCTAATTAAATTTGATTTTTTTTTTGTATGAAAAAAAACCTTTTGATATCATTTTCTAATTTGTTTAATAAATTTTTCTTTAAAGTTAAACCTTGTGGCTTTAAACAAAATCAAATCTAGGCATTAAAAGACAACTTTTGAGTTAATTGTGCTAGTGGTAAGATAGGCAATATAAGAATCTTAGCTATACTATCTTACTAACTTTTACTTAATTTAGACAATTCTTTCTTGGTATTACATTTCTTATACTTAGCAATGAAATAAAATGTTCAGTAAAAACTAAACTTTTAAGTCACCACATAGAAATATGAACTTGGTTTGTTTTGTACAGAGACGAAATATTTTTCTGATGTTTAAAAAAATGCTATTCTTTTATTTAATAAAATTTAGATGAAAATGAATAATTACTTACATCTCGAAATACTGTGTACTCAAACTGTGGATGATACTTTTCTTTGTCAGACCGTTTAGTTATTTTTTCTTTGTCAGTTTTGTGCTTTCTATCAGCTCCTTTGGGCTTCATGTTAAAAAAAAAAGAGAGAAGACATTATTATTTTGATAGTGAGCCTCAGTCTAACAATCCAAGAGACAGTGTACAAAATTACAACAATTTAATATTTTATAGTCACAATTAGGACTGGGCGATAAAAGAAATTTTATATTGTGATGCATCGTCCGTTTTGCATCGCGATATAGTATTTTTGAAATTCATTTACTTGTAAGGCGCAGAAAGTCGGATTTCTATCCAAACTTCATACTCAGATTGATTTAAATCAATTTATGAATTTGATGTATATGTTTTGCTTAAGAAAGATATTAATGTTATATTTTCTAAAAATGATCGCGCAAATAATGAAAGACTTCTTAGTTTAAAAATAAATAATAAATAAAATTGAAATTTATCAATATATTTACCTAACAATATAGAAAGAAAATTTAAAAAATAAGTTTGTTAAAAATTATTTGTATGCTTAAAACAAAGTGCTAAATAAATTTAAAAAAAAACACTTTTAAAACAACACTATTTTTTATCATTATTATTTCACATAAATAATAAAGTTAAATTGAATAATTACCGAATTCTGAACGAAAAAACAAAGTAAGGTTTAATTTCTTAAAATTAAAAACAAAGGAATTATGATATTCGATAATATATTTAACTGAAAATATTGAAAGAAAATTAAAAGACACGATTATACTCATTAATAAAACAAAGAGCTAAATGATTTAAAAAAATACAAAAAAGAAGTCTCAATCGCAAATATTACTAGTTTTTTTGAATAAACAAAGTTGATTGACTTATGTCCAAGTCCAAAAGAGGAAAAATAAGTTTTGTTATAATTTTATAATTTTATTTATAAAAATGAAAACTAAAGATTTATAAATTTAAAATCAGTAATAAAAACCCACTAAATTAATAGAAGTTTTATCCAAAAAGTTTTTAATAAATTAAAATAAAGTAATAAATAGCCTAACAAATTTAATAACATTTTAATTTAATTCTTTATGGGCACCTTAAATTAGATTTCCGAGTGTAATAAATTCAATAATGTAAAATAATACTTAAACATATAATATCAAAATTAATTTTCACATTTAAAAATAAAAAGAAAGTTTAGTTTCAATAAAAATTTTTACCTAATTACTTAAGAAACATTTCTTTATATATTCTTTTCAATAATAGATTACGTTCAGAACAAGGTAACGATCGCGATCACAAAGTCAGTCCCACTGAAAATAATCTACAAGAAACGATATCAAGTCGCGACAAAGAAGAAAAAAAATTTAAGAGGTGCGGAAACGAACATGCGAGATCACGATATATGTTCTCAAAACTGATTCTGATTCTACCGCTCATCAATCAAGGCCGTTTCACTATAACGATACGTACATCGTCTTCCCCAGCGCGAGTTGGCATCGGAACGTAAGAGATCCTTTCTTGTCTTGTATCGCTATAGCGTTATATCGGTGTATCGTATATCGTTCGTCTTCTTTACTCGACGGCTTACATCAGATTTCTCATGCATCGCCTGGAACGAAAGTCGCTGTATCGGCCTGCCGATAAAGGCGGAAAATCGATATGTCGCGATATATTGATTTATAGCCCAGTGCTAGTCTCAACCTGTAGGTTAAAAACCGAACAATTGAAAATTAATAATGCAAAAATTAAAAATCATATTAAGTGATAGAACTAGCGCAAATGGAAGATAAGTGATATTAAATTTATTAAAGAATTGTTCGACCATGACTCCTAAGGTGCATTTAAAGTATTATTTTTTGTTTGCACTCGGATTGCTTCTTATTCTAATGATTTTTCAATAATTACCTTTTAAGTCGAAATTCAGCACAAATAAAATAAGTTAAAATATCTTATTTTGTTTTACACACACATAAAATACCAAGCAGGTTAAAAAAAAAAATTCTTTGCCGGATAATAACAACAAGAATTCATTAGTCAAGAATTTCAAAATTGTTTAAAACTTTATAATATAAGTTTTCTTTCCACAAGTTTTTATTTATATTTTAAAAATTAAGTGTGGAAAAGCTATCATACTATGGGACTGAAGTGATTATGCTAAAAAATACATAACTAAATGGCGATTATTTATTAGTTACAAATATTTATCATAGCTTTGGTTTTAGAGGTTGTCATTTCAATTGATCTATAAGAAAATTTATAACAAGAATAATAATTACAGAATGAAAAAAAAACTTTAATAAGCTAATTTGATTTTCAGATCTATTAGAAAATTAATAACAAGAATATTCATTACACAAAGAAAAAAAAAATTCAATAAGCTAATTAGATTTTCAGACACCAAATATTAGTATACAACTTTAATTTGTACCTCCTAAATTATATATTTAACTCTAAAGTAAACAATTGCTTCAAGATTTAATTTAGTCTTAAATCCTAAACAATTTAATTATACTTTTGAAAGAGTTATGTATTTTCATTAGAAATAAAATCACCAAATTAAAAGGGTAGATAAGAACAAATTGTTTCGCCAAACAACTTTCACTTATTAGCTTCCTGCTTTGTTTGAAACTTAACTGATTTTAATTTTTTACCTCATTTTAATTAAAACAGTTTTAAAGAAAAAAAATATTTTTACACCTCTTGATAAAAAAGTTATGTGGCAAAATTTAATTGTAATGCCAACTTATTATTCTATTTCTGCTCAGGTCTATTTAAATCTGTTTATTTGAAAATAGTATGCAATTTTTAATTAAAATATGATATTAACCTAATAGAACTTAAAGTTTAACTTACATCTAATTTCAAAATCATGAAACAGATGTTTGAATTAAACCTAAAGATACTACCATTTTATTCTTTATTACCATTTTATTATGAAACTATTACAAATAACAATTTATAATAAAAATAGATTATTAGGATAGTAATTTTTGATAATTTTCTGACATAAATTTATTGTGCTGCAATGCAAAAGAAAAAAAATTGGTTCCTGATACTATTCCTGTTGATTCTGGAAGTGGTCCGGTGGTACAATTAGTTAAGACATCACTTACACTGCTGGTCGGCGAGCTGGAGAAAGTGAATTTGATCCTCAAGGTGAACAAAACAACTAGCATGTATACATAGCAAGGTGCATGCTGAATTTTTTTATTGCAGAAAGTTCTCTTGTTGGTTGAGGTGTGGAAGTTTGGAGAGAGGGCTACCAGATCAGGCGCCGAGCTGGAGAAAGTGAATTTGATCGTCAAGGCGAGCAAAACAACTAGCATGTACACATAGCAAGGTGCATGCTGAATTTTTTTATTGCAGAAAGTTCTCTTGTTGGTTGTGGTGTGGAAGTTTGGAGAGAGGGGTACCAGATCAGGCGCCGTCCATGTTGTATGACCAAGGTCAAAATGACAAAGCATATCTACCATCATTGCCTTTAAAAGATAGAACCTTAAAAATGGGGCTAGGTGCTTGGATATGGTTGGGTGATGATAATAATGCTGATTCTACAGGGCCTCTAAATCTGAATATGATATGAACGAATGTGAGAAAAGTATCACAACTCAAAAAAGGTTAGTAAATTAAGAGCAACAGCTTGATTCTGGGATCTTCAAATTTTTTTTAATCATCACATACTTATAACTTCCTTCATATTTGAATAACTACAACTCTGAAATACATAGGCTATACATATCTTCTGTAAGTTGAAAATTATTTTTAACATTTATTTGTGTGAAAAATAAAAAAAAATAATCATATTATACAATTAAATCACACCCTTACTTGAAAAAGGAAACAAAAATAAAACAACCAGTCATTTTTTTGAAAAACTTGCTAGCAGCCTCTTTTACCATTGAAGAGTCTAAAATAGCTTGTTGGAAGGAGGAAAGATTAATTTTTTTTTAATTTCTCCAGTCTATCAAATTGTTTTACTTTTTATTTATTGTTTTTAAAATTGCTAAGATATTAAAACAATCATTGCTTAGCAGCAGACAACATAATTACATAAGTCTTGGTAGTTAAGGGGGAAAAAAACTTATTTTAAGCAAATTATTAGGAAAATTCCCAAAACCCATAATTTTTATTACTCAACAATAAGACCAAAATCATAATAATTACAGATGAATTGTAATTGTCTGTCCTTTTGGTCTGCAGATTCAAAAGGTTGTTTTACACGAGGATCAGCAGGAATGGTGTCAAGATTTTTTTTTCATGCAACACACATAGAAGAGAGCATTATAACTGTTGCAAATAGTAAAGTTTTATTTTACCAAAATTTAACAATTTCTAAATTAATTTAAATTTCATAAATATTAAGAGTAAAAGTAGAACCCTGATTATCCAACATCCTCAGAATCTGGGTTAGGTTGGAAAATCAAAATTGTCAGATAATTGGGAAACCTTTCCAAGTCAATCATTTAAACACGTAAACATTACACTATAAATAAAATTACTAAAAATTAGTAACTATCATAAAGTTTAAAAAATACTTTCGATATTATGGTATTACAAATAATTATAATTTTGCTGTCATATTCGTTTTTTCTAATGATACAATATCCCAAAAAAATCAGTATACACTTATTTTATTATATTGTTTTATTTTTAATTGCTGTTTTCCATCAGCCAAATTTCAGATTCATCGTAACATCAGCTTCCTGTTTTTTAAATCAAACAACCCATTAAGTAACAAAGTTTACTGCATCTGTGTTGGTTATGTTATTAGTTTCCCTCCTTTTTTTAAAAAATATTTGGCATATTTTTTTCTAGTTTTGATTAAAAAAGTTTATTTCCAATAAAATTGAAAAATAGCTTCTTAATAAGAGTTTGACATAACCTTTTAAAAAATTCAATTCCCCTTCACTTTATGGGTAGTAATAATGATGAAACACATGTCAGTAGGGGTGGGGGTTGTTAACTGAATAGTAGATTAATCAGCTTTTTACTAAAGAACGATTGGAAATATCTCAAAATTTTTGCACGCTAAAATGAACTTTCTAAATTGCATATTGATAAAAATATATTAATGTAACTATAATTAATCTGATGAAAAAAAATTTATTTATCATACTTACATCAATACTTTTATTTTAAGTATAGATCAGAAGTGTAAAGTTTTATTAACAAAGAAATAATACAATCAATAAAAGTATATTTAGTATCAGCAAGTGTGCTTAATGCTTCAAAATATTAAATAAAATTGTGCCTTTTAAAAATCTACTTCAAAACTTTATTATAAAGTGTTGATCAAACTAGTTTGTTTTGCACTGAGATTAGGATAAAATATTTTCAATTAAATTTTTTCTTTTTTTTCCATTGGTTATTTTTTCACATCATATCTAATATCTTAGAAATTAACATTAAAATTGGGTAGGTGCTTAATCAGTATTTAAGGGCATTTATGATTGATTATTTACATGTCAGGAGCATGTAGTTTTTACCCAAACGTGCAATCAAGATTTCAAACCCTAGGTTCTACTACATTATGAAAAAATATTAAAGTAATAAAGAAAATTTTTACCTTGAAGACTTTGATTTGACAAGAAGCAGAATGCAATTTTTCACCTTCAGAATAAGTTTCAATTAAAATTCGAAGTGGTACACCTTTCTCTCCTCCATGTTTTCTTGCTGTGAACTCACTACTAATGCAGTTCAACTTAATGCAATAAAAGAATGTAATTAAACTAATAATTCTAAACAAAATTTTACATAATAATAATAATTAATAAATTTAAACAATATTTTAATTACCTTTATAAAGACACCCACATCGTAATTTGAGTCCCAGACAAACTCACACTCATTTATATTATTTAGATTATTTGTTGCTTCCAAAATCCCATAAGAAAGAGGTATATCTATAGAATAAATTGCACATTTAACATAAATACTAAGTGTCTACTATTTCTTTAAGAACAGTGATAAAAAACACAGGTTAATGTTGAACTAATGATTGGATTTTCATGCACTACTAGGACTCAAACTTAATGGTTCATGGGGGTGACCTCAAATATGCTAACTAATTTGGGCAGACAATATTTTATTAATGTTTATTCAGAGATAATTTGTTTTTGTGTATGATTCTGTAACTTAAAATATTGTCTGCACACTAATTTAAGTTACAGAATTAAGTCACACAATAATTAAAATATTAGCATCTCTGAGGTCACTTTCTTGAACCATTAAGTTTGAGTCATAGTACACGAAAATCCGATCATTAGATCAAAAGTTATTCAGAGTGTTTAGTTTCTTTATGCACTGTGCGAATAACTAATAATGCACAAAAAGACATAGTAAGCTCATAAGTTTGCACAAATTAATTAGCATCTTTGAGGTCACTTTTATGAACCATGAAGTTTGAGTTATAGTATGTGAAAATCCGATTAGAACAAAAGTTATTCAGGGTGTTTAGTTTTTTTTGTGCACTGTGCAAATAACTAATAATGCACAAAAGACTTACTAAAGTCATAACAATTACAGAAGCTTGCATTAAGAAGAATGATTAGAAACCAATAGCTGATTTGAACAGATTTTTGGATGCTGATTTCAGGAAAAATATAAGAAACATTCTATCACGTACCATTTTTTCAGAAATCGAAAATTTTGATTTTCGTAGTCACCAATCCTTTACATTGTAATCTAAAGAAAGGGATAAATATTTAATGCCATAAGTCGTCACTACTGGCTAAAATGTGAGGTATTTAGTCTGGTCTGTGATGAAAATAAGTAAAAACAAGTTTTAAAGTAATAAAAAGCGAAGTTTTTGTTTTAATGGATTTAAGTACAAAATGGCTCTTATTCAAGGGCAGAAACTAAAATATTCCTATCTAGACAAATGAGGAATTATTTCTAACGTATTTGATTAATCTGAATTCAATAAAATCAGTCCCAAGAAAATAGAACTAAAAGTTTAAAAGTTATTAATGGTTCACGAATAAAAAGTACAATTATTTAACTCAAGAAAAAAAAGTTCCCTTTGCACTGAGAGACTGATGCATTTTTACAGGTCTATGATTGCCATCTAATTTTTAAGTGCTTTTTTATGCTAGTCCAATAAAATCAAACCAAATTGATAAAACTAACAGTTTTTTAAAAAATGCTGAGATTTAGGTTTAAAAAATATATTTTTTTGAATTTATATCAGTCAAGGGCTAAAACCCTTATAGCTTTTAAACTATTAGTTCCATTGAATGACATAATTTTTGTAAATTGGACTTATTATGAAAATATGTAAGAAACAATGCTTGTCTATATAGTAATGTCAGATGCCTAAATAGGTATAAATTCAAAAAAATTAATTAATTTTAGTACATAAAACCTTCGTAACTTCCAAACTATTAGTCCTATTAATTTTACACTTAATACATAAAAAACAGGGTTAATTAATATTATGGCATATTATGTACAGATCCTCAACAATAGTTAGCAGACAAAGCAAAAATTCATAATTTCGTAGAACAATAGCAACAGACTTTCACAAAGTCCATAGAATACAAATTCATATAACAGCAGAGCATCTCAGTTGAAACAAAGTTTATTGAATACATACATTGCTCGTTAAACAATTATTGACAACTTAATTTGTCATGTGGTAGCACAGTTGTCAAAGAATGCCTATAATACAAATAAGACTACAAATGTTTCTCAATCTTTTCTTTCAGAATGCTATCAGACAGTGAATATGGGTGCTTCTCAGACTGGGTATTTTGAGTTCAAATATGTAGGAGCGGTTGATATATGTCGAGTAGAATGTCAGTTGATCATCTAAGCTTATTCAGATCTCTGCCAGCAGGGTTCAAGCACAAGTGACTAATCCTCAACTACTGGTTTGCTTGCGGAAGGAAGAAAAGGGTGAGAGTGGAACACCAGGCAATATAGACAAAAATATATGTTAATTTCTTATTTTATATTTAAGGTAACAGCTCTGCCTCCTGACAAACCACTGCATGAGCACCAGAAGAGGTATGAAAAGAACCCAATGAAAACAAACATTAAATTTTGACAAGTAGCATCAGTCAAGCAACGCTTTTTAAGCTTGTAGATAGACGGACGTTACAGACTGAGAAAATGGATGCCATATTTTAATTCAATTCACTGAACAATATGAAAATCAGTCATTACATTGCAAACTCTATTTAATAACTCAAATTTTGCTGGACTGGGATTTTTGATATCAATTATATGTTTGTAAATGTTTTGTTTACATTTTGTTAAACATCAGTATGAATCAATCATTTGGTTAAAAATTTAGTCTTTTTTCTATTTTCAAGTCAGAATGTATTTTTTAAATGATAAAATGAGTTATTTTAATGAATCATAGAAGATGCCTCAAAAAATTTGGAGAATGAATGGCTATCTTAAAAGTAATGCAAGTTTAAAATGCAAGGCAAAAATCTAAAGAAACAAGCAGATTAGTATACTAGGAGCAGTCAAATAGCATGCGAGTGAAAAATCACAGCAAATTAAAATGAAGCAACAGAAAAATGCGAGGCTTAGTTACTAACTGGTTCAATAGCCCAAAAGCAGGACAGATACCAGAAGAAGAAAATACATTTACAATTATTCAAATATTTTGGGGAAGGAAAGGAAATTACATGAACCATGTTTGGTTTGACGCTCAACTAATGTGGCGACTGGCAATATGAATCAATTCTAATTAAAAATTAGCAATGACAAACTATTCAAAAAGATTAAAATAGGTGCAAGTTTTGTTCCATGCTTTGATTAATCCAAAAAAGGCTTAAACAGAAGCATTCATTCCAACAGCATTATTGTTATGAANCATGTTTATTTGAAATTAGATGCATAGAAACTTCAATTAATTGTCATCATGCAAGTCAAAATGTCATTCCGTCACATATGGAATTGCCCATGACTGATACTTTGAGGGTGAATAAAGGTATTTTGTTTCCAAGTATACTTTTGTTTTATGCTGAAATCTTTAGCAATATATTTCAAATAAAACACAAATCAAAAACATATCAAGCAAGTTTACTTTTTAATTTTTTTTAACAAACTACATATTTATATAATTTGATATTGGAAAAAAACATGTAATCATAGTGAATCAAGGATTATGATTGTAAAATAATGATCTTTTCCTAACTTATAGAAAATAGTATTATTGTTTCTAATTAAAATTATATATATACATCAAATCAAAAGTTCATAGATAAAAAGAAATAAGCATGCCTATTTCAAGAATTCTTTCACTATATCTTTGACTCTGCCATTCTTTAATTTGTTCCCTTTCCATATACTGTAAGCGCCTTTCTTGAAATCCAACTCGAATGATGCTCTAAAAGCAAAAATTAGATGATTATTACATGAGTATTCAATGCTACCAATTTTTTTTAAATCATTTAAAATATTAAAAAAAATAAAGTATAACTCCAGATTGCCAACACCACTATTTATTACAAAATCATCCTTTTGTTTGCTTCATAAACAAAATTTAATAGAATTTATTAAAGGGCATAGCGAAAAAGTTCTATGTTTTAAGTTTGTGTAACTTCAACCTAACTTTTTCGAAATCTAATAGAAGGTTGTGACATAGTCAGGGATGAGAGTAGTCAGAAAGCAAAAAAGAGGAAATCCAAGAATATATATATATATACAGAAATTTAACAAAAAAAGTGTGATTTTTAAACTTGTAAGCCATGTGATTATAAATCCTGATGATTGATTTTAAAATTGTATGAATATATGAATATGAATCACATGCATGATTTTAAATTGAGAGAATATGAATCCTGATATGAGTCTTTTAAATTACGCGAATATGAAACTCTATATCGAATTTTAAAAAATGCGAAAATAAAAATCATGATGCGTAATTTTTAGATCACGTAAATACGAATCGCAATGCATAATTTTTAGATTGCACGAATACAAATCACATTGTCTAACTTTTAAAGCACGTATAATCAATGTTTGATATTACAACCGTAAAAACAAACCACGACATTGGATTTTAAGCTCCCGTGAATACGAATCGTTACATAGGGTTTTGAAAGCGCGTAAATACAAATCGCAATATTGGGTATTTAAATCTCGTAAATAAGAATTCCAATGTACGATATTTAAATCATCTGAATAAGAATCGCAACGCTCAACTTTTAAATCAGGTAAATACGAAAATCGATGTTTGATAATAAAAATCGCGATTTTAAAAATGCATAAATACAAAACGCGATATTGGATTTCTAAATCTCGTAAATAAGAATCATAATGCACGATGTTTAAATAGCGTAAATAAGAATCGCAATGCGCAACTTTTAAATCAGGTGAATACCAAAATCGATGATTGATATTAAAATCGCGTGAATAAGAATCGAGATATTTGCAGAATCGGAACTTGGAATTTCTAAAAGGCTTGTTTGAATTGTTTTTGATTAGACATAACAAATAAAAATTTACAAGATTAATTGAATAAGCAAATAAATATTTTCACTGCAAATCTACCTCTATTTTTTTAAATTTTTTTTTCGTTTGCTTTCACGCCAGACAACAGGGTCACGACGTCTGAATTGCGAAAATACGAGCTATCCGGCGGACGAATAAAAACAAGGAAAATTTTATTTTCTGCGCGTAAAGGCGGAGAAAATAAGTAAAAATACGGAAAGGTTGGCATCTAGGACGTAGTTTGAATTTTCTGCTTATCTTTGAAAATCGTAAATAAATATAATTATTTTATTTCAAGGACTGAATTTTCAAAAAAAAAAAGAAAGAAAGAAACTTTTAGAAAATCGGAGTTTTTGATAAAAAAGGCTGAAATTCGAGAGGCAAAAGCGAAAAAAATCTCTGTATTAAAGGTCCACCAGTATTATCCCAAGGATATGATTTTTAGAGAAACTTCAGGGGGAGGAATGAGGACTTCAATACTTCCTCTCCGCGGCAATTTAAATTCCTCATAAAATACTTTAACTTGTTCAAAAAAAAAATTTCCGCAGAAATTAGCGGGGAAAATGGAAAAATCTGAAAGAAAGCGGAAATCCGCGAATCCGCGGAAGAATCACATCCCTGCATAGTGCATCATATTCACCTCCATTCTTAACTCTATATTTGCTTAAAGTCTATACTAGTATCAACTAAAAAAAAAACTCAATCACATATTTGCTCAGTTCTTTTTTCACTAAGGTATTACATCAAATGTCTTGTGATAATGAGGCAATGTAAATGGCCTTCAATCGGTAAAAAAGTAACTGTTTTCTTTAAATCACTAACATTTTATAAGTCTTCCTGCAATCTCTTTCAAAAGGTAACAGACCCTAAGTGTGAAAGTTTTTAACAAAACTTAAGGCAAAATGCTTGAATAGCAACCCTTGGCAAAGCTTGATTAAAGTAAAAAGAGACATCTGTGTTAGACCAATGTTAAAGGGACACCAAATTCATATCATATTACATACTTATACAAATGAATTCCAGAATAAAATCTCTCTATATACAGTGGTGGCCAAAAGTGTGGACACTTTTTGAAAGTTTCATGTTGTTCAACTTTGTGTGCTTGTAGAATATATTAATTTTCACTTAAATACAAACGTTTATATATCAAATTGAAGGTAATTTAATGTAGAATTTAATAATAAATACAGTATTACAATATCTGTATTACAAAAAAAGTTATGCAATTAATAGTAAGATCTATCTTAGATTTGCATTTTTTTAAAGTGATACTTACACTATCAATACTTAGGAGGGTAACACTTATTTTTTAAGACAGCTTCACAGCGTCTTTTCATTGCGTGAACAAGTGTTTGGAGTTCATCTTTCGTAATCACATGGTACCAAGAATCAATTATAGCTTCATTTAGTTGTCGTTTATTGGATGGACGTTTTTTTTGTACAAGAATTTTCAAATATAGCCACAAATTTTCAATTGGATTGAGATCAGGGCTGTTTCCTGGCCATGGTAATATATCTATGCCTTTATTTTGAAACCATGCTTTGCATACTTTTGCTGTGTGGCATGGAGCTGAATCCTGTTGAAAAGTAAATGGTGCGTTGTTGGGGAAGAGGTCGCTGATGGAAGGCATCAATTTTGGTTTCAGGGCAGTTTCGATGTATTTTTTGGCATTCTGGATGCCATCAATCACTTGAATTCGGCCCACACCACCTGCAGAAATACATGCCCAAATCATGACATTTGTTGGATTTTTTGTAGTTGCTTCAATGCAATCAGGATGAAGAGCTTCACCTACTCTACGTCTCACGTATTTTCTACCATCACTACCAAAGAGCGATATTTTACTCTCATCACTCCAGATTACCTGCTTCCATTGATTTTCTGACCATTTAATGTGTTCTTTTGCCCACTTAACTCGTTTTTTGCGCTGCTTTTGATTTAAATATGGTTTTTTCCTTGGAATTCTAGCTTGTAGTCCAAATCCTGATAACCTTCATCTTATTGTTCTTGAACTTACTGCAATACCCTTTGCATTCATTTCACATCTAATGGCATCTGATGAAATTTTTCAATCTTGAAGGCATAGCCGTTTAATTTTTCTATTGGTAGTAGCACTTGTGCATTTTTTTCGGCCTGATTTGGAATCCTGAATGCCAAAAATACTTCGAAACTGTCCAGAAACCAAAATTGATACCTTCCATCAGGGATCTCTTCCCCAACAACGCACCATTTATTTTTCAACAGGATTCAGCTCCATGCCACACAGCAAAAGTATGCAAAGCATGGTTTCAAAATAAAGGCATAGATATATTACCATGGCCAGGAAACAGCCCTGATCTCAATCCAATTGAAAATTTGTGGCGACGTTTGAAAATTCTTGTACGAAAAAAACGTCCATCCAATAAACGACAACTAAGTGAAGCTATAATTGATTCTTGGTACCATGTGATTACGAAAGATGAACTCCAACCACTCGTTCACTCAATGAAAAGACGCTGTGAAGCTGTCTTAAAAAATAAGGGTTACCCTCCTAAGTATTGATTGTGTAAGTATCACTTTCAAAAAATGCAAATCTAACATAGATCTTACTATTAGTTGCATAACTTTTTTTGTAATACAGATATTGTAATACTGCATTTATTATTAAATTCTACATTAAATTACCTTCAATTTGATACATAAACATTTGTATTTAAGTTAAAATAAATATATTCTACAAGCACACAAAGTTGAAAAACACGAAACTTTCAAAAAGTGACCACACTTTTGGCCACCACTGTATACATATATATCTGTGTTACCACGAAGATTGAAGCCCGGCATTCTATATGTTTAAAACTAGCCGACAAATTATGCAACAATTCATATTTAACACATTTCCTAGGCATTCCATAAAATGCCAAATAAAAATAATAGAAAGTATGAAATGCATCTCGAATTTGTTTAAAATATCACACAATGGTTATGCAAGGCGTTGCAGAGCCATTGCAACAAGTAGGTTAGTTTTAATTTCTTATCATTTATACGAAAATTTTGCTTTCCTTAATAAGAAAGGCATAGATTTTGTTTTGTACAACTTTCATTTTTCTTTATGTATTTTGAATAATTTTTTTAATGGCTCTCTTATTTTTTTCAAAATAACATTTGTATTTTTCATTTTTTATATAATAGCTTTGTTGGAACCTTTTCTAATACTTTGCCTAAATGCATTTGTCATTTTATAGAATGCAAAGGTATTTATTATATACAATGTCTAAGAAAAGAATGTAATAATTATCATATTTCATACATTGCCTAAAAATGTCCGGAATTATAAACAAAGCCTACACATTCTATAGAATGCTGGTAACATATACACTAAACCAAACCATAATTAAAAATCAATAAATTCTATGATAAATCACATCTCAAGGTATTTTGATGTCATTTCTTATTTTATGCATAACGATATCCTGAAATTTTCCATGTAATGGATACTTAAATATACATTTATATTTAATGTAATATTTGTCATAAATAAGTGGCAAATAAAAATATTTTCTAATATTTTTCTGACCTTTATTGTAGAAACAGAGTATTAATTGCAAGTTTGGGTATTTTGTTTCCTTCAGAATCACTATTTAAAAATTTGCACAATTTTAATGAAGAATAAATTTATAAAAAAAAATATTAATCACATATAGTTAAAACATTGTATTTACAAAAGTCTGTACAAGTTAGTGCGCTAATTTGCTAGATATCAAAGAAGAAAGTTTTAAGAAAGAGAAAAAGAGATTTTTCAGACACCTTAAAGAGTGATAATGGTTTTTAATTTGTACATTACTGTTTTTAACAGCATAAAAAAATTTAAAAATCAGGTAGTAAGTTTGTCTGTTTCTCATTTCGTGCCAATTTTTTTACAAGGATCAGATAATTGATTTAAGGGAGAATACTGGCAAATGTTGCAAAAATTACTATCTTCTTCGAAGTCAACAAAAACAAATTCAATAACTCATATTTTACAAAACCTAAAATTTATAACTATCCCAAAGAGCACAAGCTTTTCAGTCTAACATCCTATTAAGAGGACACAAAAATTGAACTCATACCCAAATGCCCAGCTGTTGTAGAATCTAGATATAGCTCTGATAGCAACCTTAAAATCTAAGACCAAATCAGTATAGACTGAAAAATGACGAAGTAAAAAATTAATACTGTCAAAATTAAAACTATTATAAAATTTTTCATAAAGACTATTTTAAAAATGCCTAGGGATTTTCATTGAATTTTTAAATTTAAATTAAATGCAACTTTTATTTGCTCTGTTCAGATTGGCTTCTAAGTTGTAAAGAAAATCTATTTAGATCTAATCTGAAAGTTAATTTCTGTATTTAAGAGAAGTGTAATATTCTAATTTCTCTGTTAGTTATACTGAAACTCTAAGAAAAAAAATTTTGGCATATGATATAAAACTAATATCATATCTTTGATAATGATACTAGTTTTTTCAAAATTATATATATATTGTTAACTCAAATCTCATTTGTTCTAAATAAAATAATGTTTATAAGCAAACAAACAAAAAACTTAAAATATATTTATTGAATCTCACACTGCAAGATTTTAATAAGCTACAACAAAATATCCTCACCAAAACTGAATTTGAGACAGAAATTCACCCACCGAGTTAGCCAGTTATGTGCTCTTTCCCAAACAGTTGTTATCAAATGCAAAAGATATTCACATTTTTTGTGTTCAATTTAATATTTTAAAGCATTTTTAATTAGAAAACAATCATTTAAAATAAATTTGTATTCTTATTTTGACCAATAAAAAAGACTATCATTATGCAATATTAATTAATGCCTTCCTTTATATACTAATTATTTTTAAGTCAGTCCTTTTGTTCTTCACAAATATTTCATGTAATAACCTGGGCTCATGATATATATTCCACTGGTAGCCATTGGCAACCAATAAATTTTGAGTGACAACTACATTTTTAGCTGTTTAATTACGATCTGAAATAATTTATTTAATTTTAAGATTTGAATAAAGGTTCCAAGAGCCATGATGGCTCAGGGGATAGAGCGTTTGCCTTCCAGTGAACCGGGTTCGAATCCTAGTCGATAAGAATTCCGCATCCGGTTTGCATTGACCACAGTGCTGATGTGAAAGATCCTCAGTGGTAGACGGATCATGGGTTAGAGTTCCCTTGCCATCAGGCTAACCATGGGAGGTTCTTGTGGTCTTCCACTCCATGTAACGCAAATGCGGGTTAGGTCCATCAAAAAGTTCTCCACGAAGGCAAATTTCTCCCAATACTCGATCCAGGAGTTCCCTTGTCTTCTGGATTGGGTTCAAAATTACAAGGCTACGGAGTTGAACATAAGTAGTCGTAAACCCATAAAATTGGGTTGGCTGTTCAACGACGGTTATAAAATAAAATAAAAAGAACATTCCGAGAAATGAGCTTAAACAATTTTTTTGTAATTATCACCCACATGTTCCATAATCATTAGAGAAAAAATATTATGTTTTCCTTACCTTTGCGCTGCTGCATTCCTCAAATTTCTGATTCTGTGTTTTCTAATAATATAGTGTTAAAAAAAAACAGAAATTTAAAAAATCATACCGAAATCCAAAGTAATAACTACGGAGTTAAGATTTAAAAAAAACCACAGGCATTACGATGTAGAAACGAACTATTGCCATCAAAAATAGTGAGGTAATAACTCAGATAGGCGATTCAATATCCATGAGCTGTAATGGTTTAAGATTTTAAAAAATTGAGATTTTAAAAATGTGTAAATTCATGGCTTTTATCGCTGAAAGAGCGATGGAAAGACCATGCAAATTCATGACGAAATCGGCAGAAATTGAATGAGGGAACAAAAAGTTATTATTTATAAACGTTAGTTGAAATTCACCTGCCGAAATAACACTGAATTAAATATATAGAGATCTCAAAACACCATATAGAAATTTGTAATAATTAAAGCTAAAAAACCAACATGAATTTATGATAAAATTGGCGTAAAAACGATAAGTGATTATTCACATGGGTGATTCTAGATTTCTGAGTCATAACGGTTACATATTAAAAATATCTGAATTTTAAAAACTCTGCAGAAATGCATGAACGTAAAGGTCATCGAGAAATCACGTTATTTCAAAATGGAATTGCAAAAAATCGAACGTCAAAAGTTATTTTTCAAATATGGAATTCAAAATTCAACTGTGGTTAAAAAACATTAAATTCATTTCCAGAAAATTTTATTTCGGGAAAATATTATTTAAAAAAAATCATTTGTTTTTATCTGCAGCAAGCGTGTGATTCTTATGCAAAGATCGTGGTTTAAGAATTTTGCTTCAAAATTTTTTGAGTTCTGTGGATTAGAAGTTTTGCCAAAGTTGAGACCCAATTAATAAATTTGTTAAAGAAACCTGCTATAGCACAGAAATACAAACTCTTATATATATTTAATACTCACATATATATTTAATTGTAAAATACTTTAAAACTACACATAGAGGTTTATTATTCATTCTACACAATTTTACTATTTTTATATTTCTTTTAAAAATTTTAAAATATTTTATTATGTTGTAAAAAGTATTCCATACATATGCATTTGATTTTTATTCATGAATGTCTTCAATAAAGTTTCAAATTTGAAAAAAAAAAGAAAAGAAAAAGAAAGAAACCGTGGAGGGGCAAATATTCTTACGGGCTACCGGAAAATTTTGTGTGCTACCAGCATTTTTCAAACTCTTGGAGCCCTCATAATAAGAATACTATTTTTCTATTTTGAGGTTATAATTAGCTTTTTACCTTAAAAATGACACTCTTATCAAGGGACTGGGAACCCGTTTTTCTTATCTTCACTTCATATGGCTGACCTGGAATAAATAAATTTACATGTACAGTCCGCAAAAAAAAACCCGAATCACCCTGAATTGCTTGTGTTCTAATGATCGGATTTTCACGAACTAAGTGTCAATCTTAATGGTTCCTGGGGGTGACCTCAAATATGTTAATTAATTAGTGCTAACTATTAATTAAGTTACGAAATCAGACACAAAAACGTACTTTCTCTGAATAAACATGTATTTTTTTTTA